CCAGCAGGAGAATATTAATTAACTGTAAATATTAGGGCCTGGAGATTGAATCTGGCACACATTAGAGCTGAACGTGTTGGAGCTTTCATGATAGCTTCTCAACCGCCTGAAGGGAAAATGTCTACTTTTTCCCCCTCTCAAAAAAGCAGAATACATTTACATGTTTAAAAATGTGCCATTCCTCTCATGCTTATAGTTTTCTTCCTTTGATACCATAAAATATTAATGTAATAACTTCCCAATGCTGCTGCTAATCGGAAGTGTAAATTCAAGTTACGTGACAAAAGAATGTATAACGGAGAGCTATGAATATCAATCTTTGCCTCTTAATTGTAAAGAATCCATGAAGGAATGTTTTCTTTTATTTTCAGCACCACATTTAGACGATCATTAGTTTATAAAGTAACACAGTTCCTTTCTTCTGTAACGTAGTATCTGTAAGCTGTCAGTAAACTTCAAAGGAAAAAGACAAACAACATCTTTTTGGCCAAAAGTTTGTACAGTGCAGTGTGCACCAGCTGCTAAACAGAACTCCTAATCACTGCAATGTTCCCTCTGAGACTTGCCTCTGGCTGCCAACTGGTCAACATGTCACACGGTTGCACGAAGTGGCCATCTGATAGTACTGAGTATCAGAAAGATATGCACAAAGTTCTTTTCAAGTGATCTTATGCTGCTGTGGTCAGCGGTAGTTGGATTTTTGGATCTGCATCATTACTTTTACAGTATCCCTTTGGGGTCTAAGGGCATTTTCCCAATTTTTGGACCACTGCAGCAACTTCAGCAGCTGTAAACTCTTTGCAAGCTATTTCACGTTTCTAATGTCAACTGTATGAAAAACACAGGGTTTCTGATGTGATGGTCAATTCCTTAGTGATTTTGTGTGTCCACTGGTCTGTTTCACACAAAATGTAGACAGACACACAAATCCACCAATAACACATGGAGACAGATGACGTGTATCTCAACTCGTCTTCATAGCCTCATAACTCTGGATGTGATGTCATGTATGATCTCGCGATGCGATGGAATGGAAAGAGCGACTCTACAGATTCAGGAAATGTTTGAACTGTATTTCTACTTTGAACCGTAGCGCGCTGCATTATTGCAAAGATAGAGAAACATATATAAACATCGAATTTGACATGCAGACACGTTCATGGACCCCAAAGGGCTAAGTAACAGATCTTGATGGACACCTCCATTCATATGCATTTTCCACATAGTGTTTATATTTTTATAAATTCCTTAGAGGCTTCTTTGTTTTTTCCAATAAAGTATTTTGGAATCTTTGAAAGGCTATGCATGTTCTTTTACTGTTTCAATGAAGTCCATTTGTACTGTCTTTTTTGTTAGCATCTGATTGCTTCATTACATCATCAACATAATCAACCTATAGATCACTTATTTACTAGTATAATTGATAGAACAAATTAAAGATGTCACTATCTTCTGTTCTTAAATATCTCTACTTCCTATTCTCCCCAACAAACAGGTTGTCTGTCTGTCTGAATAAAGAACAAACAAACAGAAAACACTCTGAGGCTATGTTAAAAACGCCAAACCATTCACAGCATTCAGTGAAGTATGAAAATAATGAGTAGTGTCCTGTTCACCCGTCTCCCTCTCCCTCTCTCCCTCCTCTCCATCAGCGCACTGATAGCCTCTCACATCCATCCTGTGCTCATTATGCATAGACTTCGTTTGGTAAATCACACCCCAGAAAATAACAGCCACCTATTAAACCTGCTACAAGCATGTCAGTTTGAACTAGGCAGTTAATGTCAGCCCACAATAACTAAAACCTACATTAAGCTGTGAATTATTTTTTCAAGATATCAAGATGCGGCTCTCTAACTTAGCTCTGTTATCAAAGGGCTCATATTGTATATTTTTCTCAAACTTTTATTTTCCTTTAATGTTTGTATGAGTTTATGTACCAAAAACATCCTTTAATTCATTTCACATTACAATTTTCAACATCTATTTATCTTTTATAAGTAAACAGTCTGTGCCTTTAGGACCGACATATGTAAAATATCTCTGTTCTGAATGGCTGCCCTTTTTTGCGCTTCAATCAAAAAACAGTTGGGGCATAAAAATTCCTTTTAACTTCAGTGTGACTTGGAGAAGCTAACCTGCTGTAGTCAGCAATAGGGGGATTAACGCAAATGCATTTGGTCTTTGTGACATCACAAAAACAGTGAGCTCAGAACAGGCTGGTTACATGTAAGTTCCTATATATGGATTGTATAGACCGGGGAGTGAATGATATATTCAGAATATTTGGATATATTTATGTTCACAGAGTTCACATGACATGTATCATCCCACATGTTCAGTACATTACATGTAAACAGACAACGCTCTGCTATGCAGTAAAACAAACTACACCTTTTCACACAAGGACAGAAAACTGTGCATAAGGGAGAAAACCATGCATACAAATTAACCACCACTATTACTGCTGCACTGAGGACAACCAGTTCAAAGATATCTTTAGCTCCTGGGACTGAATCTGAGAAAGCAATCAAACTGTGTCTGCCCTCACTAGGCAAAAAAGATGCATTTATTTATTTATTAAACACCCACATTCATCCTTTTAATTAAAGGTGAATCACTTAGCCCATGGCACAGAGATTCAACTCCAAACAGATCAGATGCTCTCAAACAGACAGCTTAACACAAACTGGCAGCGAGTCCCGCGCAACTGTTGCACTGGTGAGGATCTACAGTGAAAAGATGGACATGCTGTCTATTTTTACTGCTCCTCCTGAACTCTTTGGTCATCCAGCCAGTACAAAATAAACGCTTTTTTCATTTATACTGAAACCAGACTAATCTATTTAACGCAAACAAAGAGCTTCGACTTGCTGCACTGAAAAAATCTCCAAATGGATATCGATGCCACACCAATTGGCTTTAGCTGCTGTAATTAACTGGCAGATGCTACAGCAGTGTTTTCCACTCCCGTTGCTAGAATCCCTCTGCACTGCACACTTTAGTGTTCTTCTTGCTCTAGCATACCTGTTTTAAGCTCATGGCTTCATAATAAGCTAATGACACTTCAGGTCAGGTGCTGAGCGGGAAAAGCTCTATAACGTGCAGAGCCGGGAGACTCCAGGAGCAGGACTGGAAAAGACTGTGCTTAAGCATGGGGTCAGAACAGGTGCACGCATCCCTGGAGCGCTTTTCCCTGCCATGCTGTGTCTATCTACTCTTAATGCTGGAGACTTTCAACAGCTCAGGCTGCCTGAAGCAGGAGGCGAGCAGACAAGGTACCAACTGCAGCAGGCAGGTTCGTCTCCATTACACACTTATCAACTTCTGCAACGCTAATAGAGGGAATTAAGAGGGAATTAATTGAAGCCCCTCTAAAGAAGCCTAATCAGGCTCCTGAAGGTGGGGAAAGAGAGGCCAGTGGACAGTTCTCAGAATGTTTAGGGTTATATTAAATCATATTTAGGGTGGACAATATGGTAAAAACATAACATCACAATGCCACTAGACACTTTAACAATGCACAGATCACATGAGGTTTTTATGAGGTTTGATACGTTGGAACAGGAAAAAAGTCAGAGTAGTACCACATTTATATATCAGAAACTATGTGTGCAATGATTTTCGTTTAACATTTAACAATTTTTCTTTGCGATACTAATATAAAATTTTTAATATTGGCCAACACGGACCTGCTATTTTTTCTTTAAAAATCATTAAGCCTTTTACTTACGCACTTCACGTAAGATGAGTGTCTAAAAGTAGGCTCTACTACTCTACTACCCCACAGGAAAAAATATACAGCTAACAACATCACACCACACAATGTGAGTGCTATTTCAGGATCGGTTTGTTACAGGATCAGATCAGATTCAATCTTATTTCCCTCTGATATCCAATACAGTGTTTCTGTTGATATCAGCCCGATAGCCATCAAAACTCATATGTCATCAATGAAAATGTAGTTGGTCAGTGCTCAAGTACTGAGGATATCCGCAGTATGCTCAGAAAAGTAAAGAAACCTGTCACAATAATGACAAAATATCACCCATCCTATTGCCCACCCCTAGCATATTATATTATATTATATTATATTAGATTAGATTAGATTAGATTAGATTAGAAGCCTACAGGATTTTACCTGCAAACGCACACAGACTCAACACATCACTCCTTTTTGAATATGGTTCTAAATAGCACCAAAAAGGGTTCTTCTACTGTTATGATGTCAAGCTTGTAACAATAGAGGAACCCTTTGTGGTGCTCAAAAAAATTTCTACTTAGAACTATACGCAACACATTCTCCATCAATCTGTGGAACCATTTCAAATAACCATTTGCTGAGAACCATTTAAGCATGAAATGGTTCTTCATGGAACTCATGATTCCACGTAGAACCATTCCCTTCACTAAAGAAATCTTGAAGAACTATCTTTAAGAGTGTACTTCATTCATTTCTATGGAAAGTGCATAGCACTGATTTCTCTTCCAGCTGTGGAGAGGCTGAGGGGGATTTAGGCACATATGCTGAGAATTATCTCTCCCTTTCACTTTTAATGTGGAAGATTCTCAACGCAGACTGTCCCTCATATGAACACCCGGCTTACTGTCACGGTTATATAGTTAATAAAATGAAAACGTTTTGTCGGAATTCCTGCACAAAACACCTTAACTGGCCGAATTGCTTCAGTGTTCAGGCTCATCTCACCGCAGCTCGAGTTAAAGGTGAGAGCATCTTACATGCTTCCATATCCCCTTTAAGAGCAAAGTTTGGAAAATGTATTTTGTAAATCAGTCTGAAAACACGTCACGAGTGGAGACGGAGAGCGAGCAGAACGGACAGCTTTTACTCTTGTATGTTTATCCCAAATAAAATAACTCCCTCAGCCTGATATTATAATTTGAATGAAATGGAATCATTGTAGGTCCACGAGCTCCAGAAAAGACGCGAGTGATGAAGGCAAAAAGGAGCACGAGCCGCGGCGGGAGGGTTACCTTACCTCGCAAGCAGTCGGCGTTTGGAGAGGAATCCGCGGTACTCATCGCTCCACCTTCAGCGGAGTCGGAGCAGCAGGTGAACCTGGTGAAATCAGGCGCTCGGAGCCCGATGATGACGCCGGGCTGTCTGCTCTTCTCTCAGCCTCAGCACTCACTCATGTGAGGGCAGGGCAGGACCGAGAGCAGCCGGGGCACTCCGCTCTCAAACACCGCCGGTTTTGACTCTGTTCCCGCCTGCGCGGGGGAGTCTGACTGGCGTTATTTTGTTCCCGCCCGTATTCCGACAAGCTCCGCCCCCTGAACCGGGATTGGCTAGTAGTTCATATTTACAAGCAATATGCACATTTAAGTAACAGTATTGTAATTTCGGTGGAATAATGATTCAAATAGGAGCACAAGCAGCTGCCAAGACCAACTAAGTGCTAATCCCTATAGAACTGCGGTGGAATTTCCTCGGACGTCCAGCGTTTAGCATCTATCAGCAAAGGAACTGAAGCTTGTTAAGTGCCATTCTTGTCTTTTTGGGATCCTTTTATTCTAAAATAAATCACTAAAGTTCAAAGACGCAAACAGTCCAGGTGCTAATCCAACACACCGAAATAAAATGAAATTTCAAAAAATTAATGTCAGCAACATACATTTAGGCCTCTCACATATAGGCCTACGTGCGTATAAGAAAGCGTGTTCCCTTGAAAATATCCAGACCAAATCCATCAAAATTTTATTTATGCACATGAAAACAGTACTTACTCATCTTAAGGCGGACTGCTTGTGCGTATGAACTGCCGGCCAATCCCAATGCAGGAGGCGGGGCTTGTCGGAATATAGGTGGGGAAAAAATAACGCGCGGGAAAGTTGCACCAGAGGAAGAGTCGCGTCAGGTGATCGATCAGGTGGCTAAACTGTGGTGCTGAAATTAGACTAATCTCCTCAGTAATTTCTCAGTTTTTAGCAAAGTAAATTAGATTCGTCATGGCCAATTTTGTGAAGGCTCTGTATAGAGTACTGGATACATGGGGTCAGTGTGAAATGATATTTTTTAATAATGTTTTTTTCCCGTTTTGTAGCGTGAACCTGTTGCTGCATGCCATCTAAGCTACAATCTATGATAAATACTATTTAACGGTTTAGCTTTAGGATAGTTCATGTCACCAATTATATACTGAAAATACACACACAAGTCTGTATTGCAGTCACCGTAATTAACATGGCTCTAAAAAGTATTTGGACACTATTCATTAAGGAACTTTATTGACATTTTTAGATCACTTCATAAAATGTTTAGCAAAATGCTATTTGTTTCAGGGAAAGCACTTTTAGCACAACATCAAAGTGATGGAAGATGTGGAGAAAGCCTGGAGAAGAATTCCAGCCAGACTACACTATAAGTATGGGAGTCACCATTAATGTTTGTTTTGATCCTGTACAAGGTTTATATCTCAATACCAAAACTGAGACTTCTCAAAGTATTCCTGCACATGTAAAAAAGAGGAATTCTACAGTTAAAAGCAGTAAATTTGGTCATTAAAAATCTGAGAACCTTAATAGTGTTAAATAATCTGACTGGAGTCCATATTCCATTACAGAGTCTCATGTGGCTGTCTGGGCCTGTGTGTTCTACATATTCATTTGCAGTAATATATGCATATTTGTTTCACTTTGTCACATCAAAGACACATTCAAATAAAGATATATTCGGTTTGCTACTTAAAGAAAACAAAGTATTGAGGTTCGATTCTCAGAAAGAAGGTATTGATACTTCAATATTGATCCACCCATCCCTACTGCACTAAGACTACAGCAGTCTGGGGATGTTTTTCTTACAGTGGTGTCAGTGAGGTTGTGTATATTGATGAGATCATGAACTGTACAAAGGCATTTTGGATGAAAACCAGCAGAAGTCTGTATAAAAAACTGCTCAAATGATAAATGATTGAGATCAGCCACGTTTTCTGAGAATACTTTGCCAAAAAGGAAATGAAAGTGTTGGAATGATCTGTTTAAAATAAATACCACTTGGCTTAACATGTTGTTTCCCAACACAATGAACTGAAGTGTAGCACAAATGTTTAAATATTTTTGGGGGCCAATTCTTTTTGGGGGTTCTTTTTTTCTAAATATTGCTACCTGTACCTAACCCAAACCAAATGTTTTTTTGTTTGTTTGTTTGTTGTTGTTTGTTTGTTTGTTTTTTGAAGCTGAAAAACAGACAGAACATGAAGACTTTTTTCCATGATACTGTGGGTCCCCACAACGCATAGTCACACACACTCTTCATTAAACATTAAACTTTCATTCAAGTTTTCAGGTGTCATCATAAGGAACCGTGAAGCAGTCCGGCTCTAGAAATGACCGGAGACTAGTGGCATCCATTTCATGTGGCTCTTAATGTGTGTGTTGCCTGTGAGGCAGCCTGCCTGATTGACTGTAAAAATACACTTACTCCAATCAATAACTGCAGCCTCGTTTACGATGAGTAGAAGTCCATAAACATCATCGTCTCTGCTTCATACATCACGTATATGATAAAAAATCAATACAGCCAGCCGATTCTTCTCCTTTTTTTCTGTCTAGTTGAACATCTATAGCACGTCATCATCTTTATACTGAGCAGGATCGGATAGATAAATCATGGCATAATGTAATCACTCAGTCTTTTCTTCTTTCTTTCTTTACTGTCCTTGGCTCTGAGAATTCTCATTTTTTAGGAGATGGTCCTTCTTATTCACTAGAAACGTCCATTCGTATTCATTCAGTTATCTATTTATTGAATACAACATAGACAGCTGTCCTTGAACTAATGTCTTTGTAATGCAACATAAAGGTTTGAAATGGGGTCAGATACTCCCAGGAGTGAGCTCTCACAACATTAGATGTTTTCTGTCTCAAATCCCGACTCAGCTGTGTTCTCCTCTACCTTCCTTTCTGCTCACCTGCCACGCTCCCTGGATTGCTTCAAATGTGTGTCACTATACTTGGCTAGTGGTGCATCTGTATTGAGCGGCAAAAAGGGGGCAAACAGAGGGCACATTCATATTTCAGCAGCCCGCTGCAGTCACTGAGAAAACATACCAGGAAGGTTTGATTGGTTAAAAATGCATGTAGTTTGAGGTTGTGGAGCTGTGGATTACGTTTGTGTAATCTGCACAAAGATTATGAGATATTTAAAGGTAGAACTGTATACAAGCTGCAGTCAAATCTGTACCAGGCTATATAGAATGTGTTATATTAGAAGGCCATATGTGACTCACAGAGCTTTCTTTTCTTGCTTGTTTTAAGTTTTGATGTAGTATGTAAACATTGTTAAAGTTTTAAAACCAGTCCATTTCTGGGAGCTAAGATGCAAAAACAGCCCATTTTGAATTTTTTGTCGTTTTGATGATGTCTTGAAAACCAATGCCTGTATCAATGTACATGTATCTGCCTATTCTGCCTACAGCAGTTTCAGTCTGGGTTTCCTTTTGAATGAGGCACATCAGCCAAAGAGCATAGGGTAAAAACAAATTGTTGACAGCCAACTTCATGCCATCACAGGTTATTTTAGTTCCCAAAATTGCATTAATATCTCCTTGCATTGATGCCTGAATATAATAACCAAGTATGCATCAGGTCACTTCTTATCAGCTAAGATAAAGAGTATAAAGAGTGAGATACTGTAGAGAGTATTCAGGAAGAAATCAGATTTAAATGCCACCTGATAAACACAAAAAGCTCTTTATCGCCAAACTGCAGCTTAGATACTGAAATCCCAAGCCTCGTACGCTGGCCTATAGAGACCCCTGCATATTAAGCAAGCATTCAAGAATCACCTTGCCGTGGCATAGCACCTTCTATTATGGGAGCAGAGGGAGATGGGTAGATAAGTGGTTCTAACTGCTTCTCTTTCTCCGTCTCTCACTCTATCTCTCTCTTTCTCTCTCTCCCCCTCAGGCTGTTGTCAAAGATATCTGGAATGAAACGGAAAGACCAAGGTGTGAGAGAGAGAGATGCTGGTAGCGATTGCCGGTCGTAATCTCTCTGTTGCACAGCGGAACCAGCAGGACCTGTCCTGAGTCAGGCCACTACTCCATTCTGCTGTGCTCCTCTAACACTGATGAATTTTTTATTGGGCAAAGTCAGACTGAGTTTCATAATACCTCCAGGAATACATCTACTCGTATTAATAGCATTCTATGGAAATGCAGTACGAAAAACTGTGAAAAAAATGTTGAGCAAAGTGAAACAAAGGACCATCTGCTGGCTCGAGTGATGTCTGTGGCCTCAGTAAGCTCCCAGGAGCCTTGCACGGCGCATCAGCTCGAGTTTGGACAGTGCTGTTGATTTAATAAGAGTGACTCATTATGATTTGTGAGTAAAGCAATAAAGGACATGGTGCTGATATGTACACTGTGTTGTCCGTATATTAATAACACCTTCTTTGTACCTACCCTCACTGGCCATTTTATCAGGAAGAATTACCATATAGGAGCACTTTGTAGGTTACAAATACTGATTTCACAGTCAAAGGGTTCTTTAGCGCGATGCCATAAAGGGACCTTTTGGTTCCCTAAAGAACCTTTCAAGGGATGTTTCTTGAAAGCAGTGATTCTCAAACCCCAAGATGGTCCACAATTGAGCTAAGCAATTAAGAACAGTAAATACCTGCTTCAGGTGTTTTGGGAGCTGGGTTACAGAGGTGTAGCCAAGGAGCAGCCAGTGCCACCATAGAATGAAGCATGGCCATCCTTCTGGCCACCCCAGTTATGGAAAGTGAGACGGTCAGCTATCATCAGTCAGCCACCATTAATAAAACATCAATTATGCTTTATGGTGAAAATCTGCCTTCAGGGTAACACTCAGTTATAAGAGTCTGATGATGCTGCATTTAATAATGTGACAGGTTAATTTGCTGAGCAAACAGGTGAGTGTGCTGGGTCCCTTCAGCAGTGCCGCTCTGTAAGGTACATTATGTAGTAGGCTGTATGATGGAAAGTCGAGTTAACTATCAAAAACTAGTCATCTATAATCATTTATCATACTAACTTATTTATTTTTACAGTTAAATACGTACATATGTTACAGGCTGAATTATACAGTGCTGTCTGGCTAGCTTTCTGATCATTACACTCATATATAACCTGTAGAGAGGGCTACCTAAATGAATAACCTCTATGGTCTGTCTATATGAAATGTTTTTGTAACAGTTACTGTTGTG